GTTCAATTTTTTTCTCACATTAGTTCAGTAGTCACAATCAAAACAGATATAAATTTGGCTTAATCTTATCGCCTTCGGAGGTGTTTCATCGAGAATATACGAAAGCATTTGACGAGTACTACAACGATACTGACAAGTTGATGGATGATAATGATAAGACTGAACGACTTCTCCACAGTACAATCAATTCCTAGTGCACAATAAATTCGTGCACGTTTCCATTGTACAATTCGTACTGTACAGTCAGTAACCATTGACTTCGAATGACATGATTCAAATAACTCTGAGGCATGATTCAAATCAATAGAAGCGTACATCTGCGCTAGATGTAACTTGTCGAGCTGAGACAATCAACTCATCTCCATCATTAAATCACACCAAAAGTTGATGTGATATGTCAATGATCGAAACGTGACATGATGGCCGGCGCAACACAACTGCCCACCACTGCTTCAGTGTTTTTCAGCAGCGGTCACGACCGGCGTTGTTTGTGAATGCTCTTAGTCGAAATTCATATGAACATTTTTGAAAGCAACCCTTTCTTTCATCTGGCAATCAGGCGTGATTCAGTTGAAAAGCTCGACAAAATAAATCAGTGCGTGAAAGCGAGAAAAGGATGTGAAACTAACGCAGAACGCCATTCGCGACTCGCTCGGGAACGCAATCACTATTTGCCAGAAGAGCCAGTAGAAGTGCATCGGACAGAGCGCTCAGTCTACCTTGACGTCGAATGCGTGCTACAAGATGATCCATAAACACACCTGAAACTACTTACTGCACTGCAATCCAAATTCTGTTTACATACATTTACGTATGTATATATATATCCAACCAAGTAATGAGAAAAAGACAAACTTCCATAGTTTTTCCCAGAGAACGAAGGGGATATCTTCAAGGAAAGTGAAGGGTCGGTTAAGGGAATGCTCTGAATTTCTCAAAAGCATTTTAGCGAACAGTTTTTTTCAATGGGAGAATTTTCCAGGAAATATAGATACTGGTTGCATGTTATGTATGAAAATTGCATTTAAGTTCTCATCAGATTCTTTCTCATATATTTTTTCCATTGTGAAGTTACTAATAATAATGAATACATGCACTGTTCACGTGAAAAAACCACTTTCCAAATAGGTTCAAGATTGATGTGAATGCTACTTGCTTACCCGTTCGAATAGTTTGAATACTTCGATTGATCACCGAATTATTCTTTATGCGACAGACTGAATATGATTTTGACAGATTAAGCCAACAATAAGACATATACGCTCGACAAAACGCGAAAGTTTCATCAAGACAATTAGGTTTATTTTAGCTGAACGAATGAGAAATTGAAACATTAAG